CATAGAAATTATTTTAGTTTTTCACTCTTTATTTAAAATTTGTAAAATGTTCATGGTTTTTATTTCGGTTGTGATATGTTTATTTCCTCTTTTTTTAAATTTTCTTTTAATTTGAAAATTTCATTCTCTTCTAATTTAATTATGTCTATTATTTTCATCATCGCGGTCAGTAGTAGTAGTAGTAATAGTAGTAATATTTTATGAGTCGAAGGTTATGTAAACAGTTTATTTCTTTATTATTTTTATTAAATTGCTAGTTTCATTTCGTTCTTTCGATGAACAGTAATTTGCTACGAATCATTAAAAACTGAATTGAATATTTTAAACTATGAGTATATATATATATATATATATATATATATATATATATATATATATATATATATATATATATACACACACACACATATATATATATATGTATATATATATATATATATGTATGTATATATATATATATATATATATACACATACACACACACACACACACACACACACACACACACATATATATATATATATATATATATATATATATATATATATATATTGATTCAATTTTGTTTATTTAATTTAATGACAAGATCAGTTTCTACATTTTTCAAACAATCATTTATTACTTCTTCTTTTTTCTATGAGGAAGACAGCAAGACTCCTTAGGCCTTCATCATTCTCCTTACTGGCTAAAAACTCTTAAAAAATGTTACAATCTCCCAAAAAAATATGAATGACATTGTTATATTCGTAGTCACTAATTTCAAAATTAAACAGTGACATTTCTTTCATGACTTGTACGGCTATTCTAGTCTAACTAAGGTGATCCATTGAACTTTTAAAGTCTCAACATTTAACAATCTAGAGAACAGGTTTTTATATTGTATTTCTAAGGGTGGATTTCATGAAAATGCATAATTCCCAATGGATCAAAATTCCTACTCAGTCATGTTTACTTTTAAGCGCCTTCTCAATTCAGCTTGTGAGTCAGTGAAGACTGAAAAGGATAAGAGAGAAAATGGAAAGATACAGACAAAGGATAAGTGAAGAACATAGGCATGGGATAAGGCATTATATGTATTGGAAGGGATAAGGAAGAAGATGAGAAGATACAGGCAAATGATAAGTGACGGACGCTGGCAAGGGATAATGCGTTATCTGTATTGGATGGGTATAAGGAAGAAGATGAGAAGATACAGACAAAGGAAAAGTAAAGAACACAGGCCTGTGATATTGTATTATTTGTATTGGAATGTTATAAGGGAGTATATAATATACAGGAAAAGGATAAAGGAAGAACACAGGCATGGGTTAATTGATGATAATGGAGACATTGGAAAGAGAAGGGAGAACATGAAAAGATACGGAAAGAAGACATGAGTAGAACAATAAGTGACATGATGAGAAAGTACCTTCAAAGTGTAAAAGAATTATTTACATTATTCGGACTATTGTCCTCAACTTTGTCGCCATATTTATTACAACGTTTCGGCCGTTGTACGCTCCAGCCTTCTTCAGGTGGTTGGAATGTCGAACTGAACCCTTTATTTCGCTCACTGGAGTAGACTGTTCCAGTTCCACGTAACATGTTTAATGGATGTTAGTTGTCAGTTATCTCCTGTTAATTCCCCTATCCAAGTTCTCCACTGCCTTAACAGGATATTGAACTCACACTCTGTCTCCTGTCACTGGATCTAACTAACGCTTTTATCCACAGTGCTATGTGTCCTTAAGGACAGATACTGTAAGAGAATTGCTGTGGCATATGACAATGGATAATCTTCGTTGTCAACACCTGCGTAATTTCCATGGTGCGGCGGTCCAACTCGTATGAAACTATTATTATTGAATGTGACAGCAGTACGCCAACAAAGTGACGCTGGACGTACACATATAAGAATCGTAACATATCCACCAGTTTACTCAGTATAATAGGCACATGGAGCACAGTCAAACGAACGCGATATGGTGACAGATTTTGATAAAAATAACACATAACCTTGCAGGTGGGGGTTCTGTTAAAAATGCCATCAGCTAATGTTCCGCTCAGACGGTCTCCGATTTAAGGTGTTCCTAAATATCTGGATATGACACCCAAGTCGCCTTGTATGTATCCTTCAAACTTAAAAGGATAAAAACCTATCGACACTGGGTCACAGGTGCTCTCCCATTACTCTTGTTAATGAATAGAAATGGCCAGAGTTTGTCAGCCCTTAGGGAACATGCCTAACTAGTTATGATCAAACAAATGACCAGCAAATATGTGGTACCTAACGGGATATTTACTCTTAATTCATTAAGACAAAAAAATGAGTACATGTTAACACCCCCAATCAGTTAAGATCAGAAGTCATAAGGGCCATTCCTTCAGTATCTGTCTATATTTCTGAGATGTGGTATTATGTACACTATTTACATTATTCGGATTATTGTCCTCATCTTTGTCGTCATATTTATTACAACTTTTCGGCCGAAAAATACCAGAGCGTACAACGGCCGAAACGTTGTAATAAATATGGCGGCAAAGATGAGGACAATAGTCCGAATAATGTAAATAGTTTTATTTCCTTTGGTTTCTTTCATTTCTTTCCAGGTCCCGCCCAGAGACCTAAGGTCAGAAACGGCATCATGACATTTTCACTGAGCAGTTTTAAAAAATTATTATTAGTAGTAGTAGTAGTATTGTTAATAGAGTTGTGTTTTGAATCGTGTACAAGCTTCTTCAGCTCTTTAAATTATACAATTCTCTTTGCATTAGGGTTGTCTTCAGTGCATTTCTGTTGTTCTTCATTATAATTTACATCTTCATATTCGAAGTGGCTACCATTTCTGGTATGGAATGACAGCAAACCTACACACATCTCTTCTCACTGACTTCAGTACTGGTGTACTCTGAATAGTAGCAATTCTTACTTGAATTTTCAATTCCTTCAGTGTTTGGGAGCATTCCTATTGCATCAGGAATTACGGACATGAAATACAATCTCATACTCCACAGTTTCTCGAACAAGATAGATCTTGTTCTATACTTATCATATATTTATCCTTATCATGAATGATGTCCCAGGCTAAGACAGATTATATTAGAAAGTTCAGGCATTACTGCATTTTTTCTTTCAAATTTCATTTTTTTAAAAATTATTTTAACACATTTCTTCGATCAAAAATATTATTTGGTCTGTGCCTTTCTGTTCTTACGCGTGTTTCTTGGGTGCGAATTCTGATAAATTCATTTATAAGACAAGGCCAAACGTAACCTTTTATGTTTTCAAATGTTAAGTATTACGCGATTTTATTTGGTTTTATTGCTCACTATGTTTCAACACCGTGCAAAGAGACGCCTTTCGAGTTGTTTCTGTTTTTAAATAATCGTTAAAGTTTTTACAAATACCAATATCATTGGAATAATTTTAATCCTTCAATTATTTTGTAAGGCGTCGATTGGCCGTTTTGCATTTCTTTCTTTCTCTCTCTCTCTCTCTCTCTCTTACACACACACAGACACACATACACACATACACACACACACACACACACACACAAACAGACACACACACATTCACAAACTCAATCTCTGTCTTTCTATCTCTCTTTATTTCCTATGTTTAATTTTATTTTTCATTACAAAATGTAAAAAGGTTTTGGAGGTTTGCTTCTTATTTTTATTTTTAAATTTTATTTCATTTTTCTCAAATTTTAGTTTCTATTTTAGCTATAATTTTTATTTTCATGTATTTTTATTTGTGATTCACTGAGATGTTTTTTTCTTTTTATATATAGTTTTCTATTAACTAATTTAGATTTCTCGTGGAATTTTTAAACCATATCTTTCAGCATATTCTAACAATAGTTTCAGGTTATTTTATTTTTACAATTTGTTTTATGTCATTTTGTGTGTATGTGTGTGTGTCTGTGTGTGTGTATGTGCGCGTGTGCGTGAGTAAATTATTGATTTTTGTTTCGCTTTTATAAAATTATTTTATGTAATATTTTTATTTACACATCTTAAAGGCCGTTATTTTCTTCAAAATTCACGTTTGATTTATTAATTTTAAACGTTTTAATTTAATTATGCTTTGGAACTTTGGCGTATTTCAAAAATCGTTGATTTTTTAATTTTATTTTCAATTCTTTTCTTCCTAGTTATAGTTTTCACTTCAGTTGACTTTTATTTGCTATAAGCACTAAAAAATGGATTCTTCTGGATGTGGGGGTAAAAATAACTTTATGCTCAAGTTCATATCTATGTGTTTAAAAAAGTTGATTGGTCCCGTGATCTAAGATTTCTCTAGGATATAGAGAGTTACAGGGCGATGCTCACCCCTTTTCCAAGTAAGATGAGGAAAATTGTACTGGGTTACATGATACCATTATCAGGATAATCTTTGAAAAGATCTTTGTGATGAGAGCTGTTGATGAGACAAGGCGCCGAAAAAACGAAGATCCATATTTTTCGCGTTAATATTAATCTGTTTATTCATTCCTTTTTCCATGTTGACAACTGTTATGCCGATTCTGCACCTCCAGATATTTAATATATTTAATTTATGATTCTTAAGTGATTTCTATATTTTTCGAAATGGACAGGTTGGCGTAGAGTCAGTGGAAGAGGGTTAAAACCGCAAGGTGAACACACGCTGAGAGTAAAAAGAAATGGAAAGAGAGCGAGAGAGAGATAAAATCGGGATGTCGACTTCGTGAAAAGATTGAATGTGGTTGGGGGAATGGTGTGATATAAAAAGAGAAGAGAAAGAAAGAGAAAGAAAATAAAAGAAATGAATAAGAGGAAATGTTTTTATTCGACCAATATCGATCTATCAGAGAGTAGAGTGTATCGATTTGACAAAGGAAAAAAAGAAAGAATTTTCATAATACCTATGCAGAGAGGTGGGCATAGCTTGATAGTTACGACGTTGGTTTCGCTAGTATAGAGAATTCGATCCGTGGAAAGTGTGCCTTGGTACCATAACTGTAAATAACCATAGGCGGTGTGAATTACTGTGA